GCACGGCCAACAAGTTGTGACATGCGCTCGCGTGATCGCAGGGCTTGCCACAGCATTTAGTAGGCCGCATGGCGGCGTCGGTTGGGGATTTTTTCGTCATATTGTTTTACATTTTTTTATGCTGTTCATTAATCACTGATCCGATCTGAATGAAATAAAAACAAAAGAGAGAGCAATGTCAGGGCTTCCTTTTGGTCTTTATATACGCACTTGCGTGCGTATGTGTGCACGCATGTCACAACATGTTGGCCATGCTTCCAGTGGTCCTCTACTCTTCATATCACAATACACATATGTGCGTGCGCCCGCGCCTGTTTGTTGGAGTATGAGGTGAAGCGTAGAGGACGGCTGAAGGCAGGCGAACAAGTTCAAACTTGCGCGCGCGTGATCGCAGGGCTAACCACAGCATTTAGTAGGCCGCATGGCGGCGTCGGTTGGGGATTTTTTCGTCATACTGTTTTACATTTTTTTATGCTGTTCATTAATCACTTATCCGATCTGAATGAAATAAAAAACAAAAGAAAGAACAATGTCTGGGCTTCCTTTTGGTCTATAGGCACGTACTATAATAAGACGAATCTGTGATTTGATGAAGGTGAAATGGAGAATGCCTCTGTCTCTACCTCCCCTAGAAGCACATCCCCTGCCCTTGTGGCCCTTATGCCACTACTTGACCCACCCCCAGGCCATAAGATCTCGTTGCACCATTCCTCTGTCAAGGGAATGCTTCCGCATGGTCGCATAGATTTTGTGTATAATGTATGTCTGTATAGTCATACTCATACACATAATCTGCTGGACGTGGTGGTGTGCAAAGCCTGTAGTTATGGCCTTACCATTACTCGCCACGGCTCAAGCTAATCAATGAGAAAGTCTTTTGACTGGTATTAGAGACTGAATAACAGAACAATGAATGTAGGTACAAAATCGGTTTTCAAGGGAGTAACTCGTATAGGCCAAAAGTACCTTTGGGTAGGTGGGGTGGGGTGGGGGGATTATTACGTTCAAGACATTTTCCAGAAAGATAAAGCTGACGATATATGATCCAAACATAAAAAAAAAAAAGGTTTCAAACTTTTCCCAGATTTTTTAGATCATTCAGAAATAATGTGTGTTGGTCTCATAATTTGTAGAATTTTATATGCTTTCTGCAGACACCCTTATTTTTTTCTATATCTATTCATTACATCACAATTGCCAATTTTCGAAGGTTATGTGAAAAATTACAATATTTCGGGACTGTATCTAAGGTGGCAGATACCACCTTAAAATTGCAGGGGGGACAAAAATTTCAGGAGACACTCAGACACCTAGAAACTCAATGAAAATGCATATAAATGAAAATCGGCAATTCAGACAATTTTTGCCAAAAAATGCCCTGACAGTCCCCTCAAACCAAAAAACTAAGCAATCCCCTTCCCAAAGACAAAAGCTTATTGATTATGATCCCCCAACAACCTATTTTGTTAAGAATAAAAATTCAGCTTACCTATAATTAGTAACAACATTACAGCAGCCAATCATTCGCCCATCAAAGGAGTCTATAGCTTGACAATAGACATCACCTGTAATGTCAACAGCAAGAGGATTCTCTTTGATGCGACACTTACAGAGCACATTGGTAAGACTAGGAGCAGCCTGAAAGAAGAAATTATATTAGTAATACTGGAAGTATCTATAAAAGTAATCACACGATAGCAATGAAGAAAATCAAATTGAGGAATAAGCTAAACAAGCAGGATCAAGTAGGCATAGGTACCAACTCCATGGTGATTCAGTATGTGTGGAGCCATCTATGTGTAAAAAAAAAATCATAAAACAAAATCCCACAGGAGAGCACATGTACACAATGACAATGGGTTAAACAGCATTACTGAGCTTAATAAGTGGTAAGGGCAAGACATTCAATCACATAAGAAAAAGATCCTCTCACTAACACAATATCAATAATAAATACCCAATATATCTGAAAGTTTTAATATAACTCAAAACTCCTTGCATAAGCCTTTTTTTATTTCCCGATATCTAGTTGTCATTGGTATAGTGCATTAAGATGGTAACAGATTGTTCCCTGCACTGATTCCATTTCATCTCTAAGCAGTCACTAACTCGGTGCAAAATCCATAACAATAAACACTTTGTTATTTGTGTTACTTTTCAATATTTTCATTGAATTAAATTTTCTGCAATACACCTAAATCACTAGTCACAGCAGGCAGGAATAGAATCCTAAGCATGGAACTAGTGTCCCACCTAAAGCAAGCACTCTTCCGGTCATGATTCACAAATGGTACATTCCACTATTGTTTACTGATAGAAATAATGCAAAAGTCACTTCCTAAATTCCCACCAAGTTTAATCACCCTCTAAGAGTCATTCCTGCTACACTGGCCCTAAGCCGAAACTCCCATTTCAGCATGTTCCTGTCACCCTAGCCCTGAGCCAAGGTTTTTCATGACAGCCCTCAGGTAATTTTTTTTTTCTATTATGTGATCGTCACATCACCCAGATCTATGGGGTTAACAACACTAATAGCAATAAGAAATTAAATAAAGAATCTATCAGAAAAGCAAGGAAAAGGGTAAGCAAGTAAGCTAGGTAGACCTAGGAATTAACTACTTTTAGATTAAGCACTTGTGGAGCCATCTATGTGTACAGACAATCAATAAACATAAAAAAAAAACACATTGGACATAGTATGTGTTCTTGCCATCCTGGCAACACTGGGTTAATGTTTTGTTAATAATAATGACAATGATGACAATAATAATGATGATGGTGTTAATGTTTTATTTTATGGTAATGTAAATGTTGATGTTAATGTTTATATTAATATCAATGTTTATGTTTATGTTAAAGTTAATGCTGCAGCTAATAATACTAATAATGACAAAAATGCCAACTATAATAATAATAATAATAATAATAATAATAATTATTATTATTATTATTACTATCATCATCATTATTATCATTATCATAATTATCATAATTATCTTAATTATAATAATAATAATAATAATAACAATAACAAAACATATAATAATAAAAATGACAATAACAATTTAAACAAAAGGGATGTCTTTCCAAATATTCAACATATTGGGTAAACAAGGGAGATCAAGTAGGCCTGGTAATTGACTAGTCAGTGACTATGCATCTACTGAGTCATTTCCCTTCTATTTGTAAACAATATTAATGAAATTAAATCAGTGGACCAGGCATATATGTGTTAACCTGGCAGTAATCTGCTATTACTATGTTTAACCTACTAATGTTATTAGTATATTACTATTTAGAAGTGCTGCACAAGCTAGACTACAAACATTAACTAACATTTCTCTTACATTCTTCACAAAGGCATTATACTTACAACATAAGATGACTGAGATCCTACAGGTTTTGACTGAGTTTTTCCAGGTCCTTCAGGTGACCTTGGTGCAGCTACTGAGAGGGGATGTGGAGACATGTTACGACTTAACCTCTTGCTCTTTCTCACGCCTTCAGCTGGTAATCGAGTTTCACCAATAGAATCACTTGAGTCAGAGTTATGTCCCTCCAGGCCTAAGTCCTCCAACCGTCGCTTGCTGATGCTGTGGCGACGTCTGCCCCGCAGGACTAAGTCTCCTCCTACCAGGTGCTCCTTTTGGGACACAGCTGTGAGATCCAGGTTTTCAAGCCTCTCATGGGTTTCATGGGTTGGCCCTATAATAGATTCTGAATTATCTACTGACTTGGATTGTTCTACTTCTTCACTGACATGAATACTATGGGTTTCATTTTCAATCTTCATTTCACTAGAAGACTCATCAATAATGCTTTCTTCATTGGGTTTCTCAACCATTTTACAGTCACGTTTTTCTAATACCAAATGAGTGGCATCTTGACTAGGGAGATCAATGTGATCTGGTTCCTTTGCTGAGAGATTTACATCTGCATCTTCACCTTCTTCAGGCTGTTCTTGTCCCTCTTGCCTTGGTTTCTGTATTGGCTCTTTCACATCTTCCTTAGCTAAACCCATTAGTGATTCAGCACTTCCATTTGCTTTTCTGTCTTCCTCATCCTTGTGTACTATATTATCCTGTAGGGCAGCTGCTTTCACATCTTTCAGTTCTTCTTCAGTTTTATGAGTAGCTTCTTCATCAGGCTCTGTTGATATAGTATTCTCTTCTGTTGTTATTGCTCTAATTATGGGTTTACTCTCAATAAGTGAATCATCATTACTTATGTTGTCTGCCTCTGGGTTTCCCATAGGCTCCTCATCTATGTTGTCATCTTCCATTTCACCCTCTCCATCTAAATTATCCATTTCTCCATCATCGTTATCTGCAACTTCTGAGCCTCCATCATCTAAGGCATCTTGGTCCTGGTACTGTGAAAGCTGTGAAGGGACATCTTGTGATGATGAATCCACAGACTCGATATCAACCTCTTCCGACACAACTGAGTCAGTCTCTTGGTAAGCATCTTGCCCACCTGGGCGCATCTTTCCTTTTCCCTTCTTTTTCTTGCCACTGAATGAATAACTCAGACCTTTAAAATGTTTCTTTTTCCTTTTTCCAGTCTTTGTAAAAGCTGCTTCATCCTCTTTCTTCATTCTACTTGGATATGATTTGGGTGTCAAGTCTTTCTTGAATATCTCTGGTATTGTTATCTGCTTCCCTCTCTTACTTCCCTGTGGTGTTTCCTGCCCATCACGTGACAGGGAGAGGCGCTGTGACCGTTTTGGCTCTGAGGATGGTGTTGTGTCACTCTTTAATGGTGTCATGCTGCGTCTCTGTCGACTGCCAGGATCTGAATCTGGTGTAGACTCACTATCAATGCTCTTCCCTCTGCCTCTTCTGCCTGTCATGCCAACAGAGGAAGTACCTTGAGTGGCACTACCTCCTACATCTTCTGTGGAAGTTCTGGTTCTCCCTCGGCCACGACCAACAGCTGAGGGTGAATGTATCCCTGCCACCTCCTCCAGCCGCTCTGCTTCAGGTCGCATCTTTCCCCTT